CGTTACCTTATCGTTACGTATCTTTGTGTACAGGGTGTATCTATTTATAGGAACCGAATGTAGCAAGAATATTCTGCTCAGTGTATCGATAGAAAAGTGTTTGATATTTTTTTGATTGCACCAAAATGTCTTCCTTCCTTAACTATCTATGTTTTTAAAAATTTTTATTCTTTCGAAATTTAATGATAAATTTCTAAAATTAACATTATAATTGATTTTCAAGTATTGAATAATACTTGAAAATAATTTACGATCTACTTTTGATATAATAATGATAAATATATAAAAATATTTAACATAAGAATAAAAAAAAATTTTGAACTTTAACTCAAAACTTATAAAATTACGTATCTTACAATTATATTGCAAGAATGTAATAAATAAATAAATATTTAATAAAACAAGAATAAAAATAAAAACATTTTAAATTAGTTTGCATTTGTACTGCAAATAACATATTGGAAATTATTCTACGATAAAGAAAAATTTGTAAACCCATCACATTTACACAAGATATATATATCTTATATCTACACTGACTAGAATACCTTACTGAAATTCAATCCCACGTTCCGCATACACCCTGCATCGTGTATGTATCTCTGTACGGTGTACATGTAAAAATGTAAACATGTATGCCTGAGTACATGTACGCATGTCACGTGTCCTCTACAGTTACTTGTCAGTATTATACATCGAGAACGTACTATCACAACGAATCGCCAATCTCTTTTCTTCCAGAGTTATTCCGCATTTGGCCGCGAGACACGAGGGCAATCTCTATCCGCCTGTGTTTTTCGTCTATCGAACGATATAAAATAATACGCGTATACACTCTGTCGCTATGGAAGACCGAGTTTCCTGAACAACGTTCGGATAAGAAAGGAATATATCGTGTGAACTGACCGCGAAGAAATTGCCTCGACATTTTTTGTGCGTGTTACGTTCGCGCGCACGTACAATGCGTACATATTGTGTGTGTATTGCGTGTCTATTGCAATCATAGCTGAAGGATTGCGATTCGAATCTCGCGACCAAAACAAAAGAAACCGAGAGGAGAACGAAACACGCGTTTTTGCAAACTTGCGAACGTCGTTTGTAATTGATCATTTTCCACTTCTCGACTAATTTAATTACTAATTAAAAATAAAATTCACATAATTGTTAAATCGAAGTACGAATCGAAGGAAAAAGTTAATCTTTTCAAAATTTGTTCAAAATAATCGTTGTCGCGTAGTACTTTGTACCTCGCGGTTCCTTTCATTCAACATAACCTCTCTTTTTTTAACTATCTCCGTTGTATATGCCAGTGAATACTTAATGTATATATAATATATATGTATATAATAATACATACAATATTTATAATTTTATCCTCGATCTTACTTTTTGTATGTTTATATTTATATACATATATACTTTTTTTCATCATTAATTATTATCATCGTCGTCAATTATAATTCATCGTAATCGTTATCCTCGAACTTTCAAATCACTGGCAGACACGTAAGGATACGCATAAAGAAATAAACTCTATTCATTCGCGTGACATATTTCATTTCTCGTGCACTCGAATTAAATTACTGTTCGATGAAGAAATGCACAAATATATACTATATATACTATAATATACTAATTATTCCGACGCGTGTATAAGATATACATGTATATATATATCTCTTTATCCTCCAGTGTTCGTGTGTATTTGTTGAATTTGTGCGGTCGTGTATCATTCGTAATGCGCATGTGAACTCGTTTCATGTACAATTCTCTTTCGTTTCTTTTTTTTTTTTTCTTGTTATTATAGCTTATTAAAAGTCTCTCGTCTTCCTCTCCATATCTCCCCTCCTCTCGCAAAAACTTCAGCCTTCTCCTTTACGCGTGTGTTTTTGTTTGTAAATGCACGTTTTTTTTTTGTTATATTTTTCCTTTTTTTTCGTTTCTTTTATTATATAATTCTTTTTTTTTTTCTCCTCTTCAATATTAATTCGCTATAGTTTTGCGCTTGTTTTGTGTGTTTCTTTACGATTCGGCACGATTATTTCGTTTCTCTTCTCGGCTAAATGCATAAGCTCGTGAGTTGCAATTGACGAGGTTCACTGTGTGCAATTTCTTTTTTTTTAATTTTTATTTTTTTTATTTTTTTATTTTTTATTATTTTTTTTTTTCGAACTCCCCCGAATTGAATCAGTTGTCAGGGCAAAATGAGGCTGCCTTCGGTGTTTCACACGCTATTACATGCTAATAGATAAATATATATTATATATGTGTATATATATATGTATGTATGTTATTAATCATAGCACTAGATAAAATGAGATAGGACGAAATCTCTTCGCTAAAATCTCTATGCACGTACGTTATTTTTAATTATACGAATTAAAAGGATCGCCCGAACACGACGGCGTTTCCGCATTTCAATCTCATCGATGTGTGCAAGGTGTTTCTAGGAAACATACGTTACTATAATAGTTCTTCAATTGATATCCCTAAAAGCTAATTGGGAAAGGGTGGGAGGTCGGATCGGTAGAAATTCCAGTGACAATTCCGACATGACACCAGTCTCTCGGTTGAAGATCGATTTATTCAACCCTTAAGGCCTCAAGATTGGATAATTCTGTGTAATCTCCAGGATATTGAATTTCGTTTCGATCGTTTAAATTTTTTTTTTTCGTCTTTCTGTATTGAAATTGTACTAAAAATAATAATTTATAAATATTTTTACTTATACTTAAGACGTTAAATTTCATACAAATCCGTGGAGAACAGATTTCTTTGTTCTGATTTTCAACCAACGTGAATTTCCAAACACTTGAAACCCTAAAAAGGTATCTTTAAATCGGATTAAGCGAAACGATTCTCGAATATAAGACTAGGTAAGAAAAAAAAATGTCTATAATTCACTGTCTTTCTCTATTTTCCCGTCCAGATGCTCCCCCTCTCCGTCTCTTTAAGAGCAATCTATACACATATATATATATGATAAACGATTAAAAAATAATTAAAATCTAAGAAACGATAAACGAACAATATTAATAATAGGGAATAAAATTCGATCGATCGAATAATAATAATGATAATAATAATAATAATAATAATAATAATAATAATAATAATGATAATAATAATAATAATAATAATAATAATCATAATCATAATAATCATAATAATCATAATAATCATAATCATAATAGTAATAACTTTTAAAAAATTGTTGACGATTAACGATAGAAGATACCCGACTAAAGACTTCAACGGGTGAACAGAGAAAAATAAAGGGACTAATAATATTCTATTTAAAAAGAGAGGGGAGGGAGGGGGAGACAGGCAAGTTCATACGTGCGCGCAAAGTGTTAACCGCACGTGACGTGACTTTTTTAGGCCGAGCAACGTATCCGTCCATCGTTGGCGTTAGAAAATAAAAAATATATATTTAGAATATATTATATGCATATATATATACTATATATATAGAACAAACATCGACATCATCGTATAAAGTACGATATAATAAATCGGAGGAACGATATTTCCGGTGTGACGCAACAAACGAAAATAATATTCGAAACAAAACGGAACAAAATAAAGTCGCGTGGCGACAAGAAATTTCAACAACGTATATTTATTATACTCTATATAATCTTTATCTTATCGATTCTACATCTCGTACGAGGCTACCGCGGAAAGAGAAATTAATAACATATCTCTTCCGCTTCTTTTTTTTTTTTTCTTCCTCTTCTACACAACTAAGAAGGAAACGTTACACGCTAGAAAAATAATTAAAGGAAAGGTTACACGCTGGTGGAGCGTGTTAAAAAATAAAAAAGAAAAATAAAGAAGAAAAAACAAACGAAATAATAATTAAAAAAGAGAAAAGAAATACGAACCGCGATACGGTTCGTGATTAAAAATATTTATCCCGGATGGCTCATCGTTTGTGATCGAATTGGCAAGTCTTCGAAGACACAGAAGAAAGAGAAGGAAACAAAACGTGAAAAAACGGTGGTGAAAATTTGCCGTGCGTGGACGTTTCTCGGTATTATTATTATTTTCCTTTTCCGTTTTTTTTTTTTTTTTTTTTTTTTTTTTTTAATTTTCTTTTTATTCTTTTTTTCTTATTTTCTTTTTCTCGATCGCAACAAAAGGGGCGAAATCAGATGAAGTCAATCGTTTCGCAAAAAAGTCTTCGCGTCTTCGTTATTTTCTATATTCGTCACGTGTAAGCATTTACGTTCGAAACGCTCCAAGTGGAATCGGGTCAATAAGGCACTGTTCACCGACAATGTCTGACTAGAAAATGAATCTATTTTCGGAACTCTTGTTTACTTGTTTGTTTGTTTACTTGTCTGTTTGCGTTTCTCATCCCTTATTTCGACGTTTCATTTCTCGTTTCGCTCGCTGTATGTTTCTCTCTCTCTCTCTTTCTCTCTCTCTCTTTCTCTCTCTCCCTCTCTCGCTTGCAGGAACGTTCCCCTTACATATTCAATTCCTTATAATCAATATAATCATAGTACACAGTGTATATACGTGTATATATATATATATCTATATATATATCTATCTATCTAATCTCACGATTACGTTATATCACGCTAAATCAAAAAATAGGTCGGCAACGGTTTCGGTCTAATTACTCTCGATACTCCCCAATTCCAAATGTTATATCCTATACACTATCCTCAAAAACTACCACGTACGAAACGGAAATAGAAACGTTACGACGATTTGCATCCAAAAAAAAAAGAAAAAAAAGAGATCCCTCTTCGGCCGTGATCCATCCATCTATCTATCTATCTACCTATCTATCTAAGGGGGAGGAATCACGATCGCGAAGAGGACGATCGAAGAATCGTCGCGGTTCTTTCCCCTGCGAAAGAGAGAGAGAGAGAGAGAGAGAACGAGAAAGAAACAAGAGAGAAAAGGCGGAGGGCCCAGAAGAAGGAACCAGAGACGTGAAAAGGGGAGGCGAGAGAAACATCCCCCGAAATAGTATCCCCCTTTTCGAGCGATCCCTTCCCCCCTTTTCCCCCCGTTTACGAGGTCTTCATCTTCTTGTAGGGTTGCATGATCACCCCGGAACTGACCGGAATCGCTACCTGCGGTTGGGCCGCGATCGTGGCCGGGTTCGGAATCTGCGGTATCTGGGGGACACCCGGTACACCGGCTGCCGCTACGCTGGCCGCGACCCCAGGCATGCTGGCGACACCCGGTAGAACCGTGTAAGGATTCTGCACGTAGGGATTGCCCTGGACCGCGGCGGCGGCGGCGGCCGCCGCCCCAGGAACGGTCGGTATCGAGGCTTGAACGTAAGGATTGGGAAGGATCTGTTGCCTCATCAGCGAGTAAGGATTGATCGGGGCGCCGGTCGGCGGCCTCGAGTAGGCCAGGATTCCAGCGGAGAGCGGGGAGGTGAGGGCGCCGGGAATCCCGGTCAGGTTGGGGATGACCGGCCTGGGTGTCGCCGCTGTCGCCGGGAGGCCGGCAACCGCCGGATTGCCGGCCGCGGCGGCGGCGGCTGCCGCCGGATTCACCAACGCTTGCTTGTTCAACGCGACCCCGGTGTAGTTGAGCGCGGTTAGCTGATTGATACCGTACGACTGGGACGCCTGGGAGAGCTTGATCGCTTTCGCGTAGTTCTTCTGGGCGACCTCTTTGGCGAGCGCGGCGGGGTCAAGGGACGCGGGCAATCCGGATGCCATGCCCAGGCTGTTCAGCATGTTTAAACTGGCCATGTTCGTGGCGTTGTAGTTGGCCATGGACACCATGTTCGTGACCGAGGGCACGTTCGTCATCGAGGCCATCGAGGCCATGACCACGCCTGGCATCGAGCTTAGGCCGGCGACCGAGGTCAACGGGCTCATCGCGGGTTGCACGCTGGCGGCCGACAGCGCCAATTGGTTCTGCAATTGCTGCTGTTGATGCTGTTGTTGCAATTGGTGCTGTTGTTGCTGTTGTTGCTGCTGCTGCTGTTGCGCCTGTTGCTGTTGATGTTGCTGGTGCTGTTGCTGCTGTTGTTGCTGTTGCGAAATTGTCGCGGGACTCGCGTGATTCAATTCGGGGGAGTTGTGCGCGTTTTCGGCATCGTGATTCTGCGTTGGATTCGGCTGCTTGTTATTGACGTTACTATTGTTACTGTTATTGTCGGCGGTTGGAGGTGGTGGCGGTGGGTTGTTGCAGGGATCCATCATCACGCCATTGTTGGCGTCGGCGCAGTTATTGACTGTGGCGCCGCCGGTTCCTTGGGAGGAGGAGGAGGACTGAACTACCACCGCGTGGTGGTTGCTTTGCACGTTCGGGGGTTGCACGACCGATTGGTTAGAGGTTTGGGTGGGTAGGGGTGGTGTTCCAGTGTACTCACATGACACAGGCACGAAGGGCTGCTGCAGCTGCATTAACTGTTGATAGGTCGTCGCGCCGGTAGGCTGATAGACCGGCATGCCGGACTTGTCGCCCGCCGGTCGTTTATACGGAACCATTCCTGGGAAGGCCTGTAAAACAGAAGCGTGGGAAACGTTCGAGATTAGCGGGAACGATGGTTTCGTCGTTGCGATTCGAGAACCTTGAACGAGTGAAGGCTTCCGGTTTGAAACGGAGAAGCCTCCACTCTGTCTTTCTTTCGGTTCGTTTCTCTTTTCAAGTAATTTTGTACTTTTTCTTTCTTTACGTTTTCTTTTCGAAATTGTCTCGGAGTGAGGAGCAATTGACTCGAGATTGATTACGATTTGGCAACGATTTCATTTTCTCTTTTTTTTCTCGTATCGGAAAGAAAAAAGGATCGTTTCGTATTCTCGGAATTTTCCTTCGATTAAAAATTAAAAATTCAGGCTTGTTTTCCATATGAAACGAGCGGCTTCCATGTTGAATTTTTTGTACTTTTGTTCAAGCCCAACACCTTCGATTCATCCCGAAGAAAAGAGATTTTACAGTTAAGCAATCTACATTACATACAGTGCTGTTTAACATTTTTTTGAATTAAATTCGATTCGACACGAAAAGCAGGAGTGAAATAATCAAAAATTGATCTTATAATTATTATATATCGTATTAATATATAAACGTTAATCAGCGGTTTTTTTTTTTTTTTATTGATTCAGTGGTTAGATTTCTGCACTTACAAAGTTCTCGTAGTAGAACGATCCGACAGACTTCATGTCCATCTGCAACAAAGACAGGATCGGTTTCAACTAATTTCGAGGATGAGGTTATACGAGTTGCGTCTGTATAATTGGATTCTCGTAGGAAGAGAGAGAGAGAGAGAAAGATAGAGAAAGAGAGAGAAAAAGAGAGAGGAGATGTGGTATATCGGTTCTCGGAGAAACAGAATTAGATATATTCAATTTGTCGGATGGGTGATACACAACACGACAAAAGTAGATGGTTGTAGTAATAGTAGTAGTAGTAGTAGTAGTAGTAGTAGTAGTAGTAGTAGTAGTAGTAGTAGTAATAGTAGTAGTAGTAGTAGTAGTAGTAGTAGTAGTAATAGTAGTAGTAATAGTAAACTAATAGTAATAGTAGTTAGTTAGTAGTTAAGTAGTAATAGTAGTGGTAGTAGTGTGTAAAAGTTGTGCCGATGACGCAGCTTGCGGCGACGTTCCCAAATGACGACGATCGTTGTTGGATAACTGTAAAATTCTCGTTTTTCTGTTCCTTTTCTTTCTTTTTTTTCTTTGTTTATATATATATATATATATATATTATTTTACTTTTTTTTTTTTAATTTTAATTTCTTCGTTCGGTC